TACAAAACAAAACAACACTGTTTCCACTCACTGACAGATGAAACCTAAATAAAAAGCTCAGACATGTTTGCACTCACATAACCAGTTCAAATAACAGCATACAATTAACTGCTTCAACCATCTCATGCTGAAAAAGGGGGTACACCACTATGACAACAAACTACAAACCTCTGGTGAACATCTTCCCCCTCCTGCCACTCTGGAATACTTTCACAAACACAACGTCAGCATTTCATTTACAGTGACTTCATCACCAACATTCATCACCTGCTGCTGCAGCCACACCAGCACATCCACAATCACTCAACGGTCCACTTCAACTCTGACCACTCAAAGTCTCACATCACAGCACTCGAAAAAACTTCCCTTGGAACAAGTGGAACACTTCTCCATTCAACCTTTTATTCAAACCTTTTTATTCCATGATTTAGGAAAAAAGTCCATCAAGTCCGTTAACACAGAATACATCCCCGTTTCAGACATGTGAAATATGTCCCCTTATGTTTGTCCGTCCACATCTTACACCGATCTCTCCTGGAGATTGCAGCGATGATAAGCTTCAGTTTCAGAAACACAACCACAACGGAAACAAACAAATGTGGACACAGCATTTCACTCAAGGATCTATAAGGTCATCATTGTCATCATTTCTCCATTGTCCTGGGTGGTTGGTTACAAAGATCACTGTGTCCTTCCACTTCCTTGGCCCTTTAGTCCTCAGTACTGAGTCATGTGACCATTCAAGATGGAACACTGAGCTGCGTACAAGCACAACCCTCAGGATCCTCTAACCCCCAAACACTCCACACTCGTTGGCATTTCTGGGATTCACGAAATATGTCCTTGTCTGCAGGGCGCCCACAGCTGTGTCAAGCCAATCAGCTTTCACTGGCCTTATCCAGTGGTTCCACAACAGCTGCCTACGCGTGAACCAGCCAACTGTTGGCATCTTCTAAGTCAGTGTCCAGCTCCTCGTCTTCATCTAAAGGCTCTGGTGTTCGGAGGTCCAGCTCCCGAAGGAAAGCAGGTGAGTAGGCGGGAGGTTGGGAGACAGACTTGAGGCCAATTTTCTTCTTCATGAGGTGAAACTGATCCCGGATGAAGTTGTAGAACTCGTACTCGTAACGCATCCGCTGGTACAGCACCTGCAGGGCCTCCAAGGTGGGTGTGTGTTTACGCACTGTGCCAGTCATGTTCCCCATCTTCTTGTAATCTAGGACGAAAAACATATGTGTGAGTACTGCTTACATTCATGACTTAAGACGTGCTGTGTGACCAGGACCTATACTGTTTGCTGTTTTGAACTATATTTCACACCTGCTAAGTCCAACTACTACAGATTATGTCCTCATTCAAACCTCTACCTCCCACTTCTCACTGACATGCACAACTGTAAGCTCTCATACTCAAAACATTAAACCCTGGCATTAATGAAAAAGTTGCGACTCAAAACATTAAACCCTGGCATTAATAAAAAAGAGTTGCAAATGTAAAGCCTTCTCCTTACAAAGTGTCATTTCCACACATTCAGGAGGACTACACTTTTTCCCTTCATACACCTTCGACGTAGGCCCCAGGTCCACAACCTGTGGCTCTGGAGCCACATCTCACACACTCTACCCTACAGTGTTTGCATGCTGCACTGCACACAAATCGACTGCTGTACTGGCTTGTGATGGTCCTTCTGTAATGTCCACCACAAACGCCACAAACGCCGACCCCCAGCTGCACAATCATGCATCGTGGACATCACCTGTGGCCACACACTTAAGTACAACTTCAGCAATACTCCTTCTCCCCTCACCCACTCTCTCCTCAGTCACAACTTCCTCTTCATGTAACCATTCAGTAGTACTACTCCTGACACTACCACAACAACCACAGACACACACACTCATTCCACAGTTCACTTTAACTTCACACCTCGAATGTGTCCATCTTACCTGGACTCTTGTAAATGCTGAGTACTCCACTGAAGTAATGAGGTAACTGCCTCTCCAACATCACCAGAACGTCCTCCAGCTCCTCCAGGACACCCACCAGGAGATAGTTCTCCAACACATTCTGTTTGGCTCTCTCCAAAGCCCACACCCCAGGCTCCCTGGTGCACAACAGCAGCACAAACAACACACACTTAATGTACATGAACACACAGCTGCAGCATCACCACAAACACACACATCAACTGTACCTGCACTGAGGATGCTGTCCACAGAAGTAGGGGATGATGTAGAACACTCTGGGGTTGGAGCACTCCGGGTAATTCTCCAGAATACAAACATTTATATCCTGAAATCACAGAAACACATTACATTCACATACACAATTTCACAGATAAACACATCACCTCCGACCCGCGTGGGAACACAAACACCTCTGCACACAGTAGTCGTGACACCCACTTCCCAGAGTCCACTGTTTCCCTGTCTAAACTCACCAACACTTTTTTTTTTCACTACAAACCTAATCTTTCCTTATATTTCCCTAATCTTTCC